CCCCAATACACTTGAGCAACAGCCAAAGTAGAGGTATCTTTGGAACATTTCCTGGCTTGGAGGTGAAAGCGAGTGTCACCCGAAGAGAAGGTGGTGCCTGCCTGTATGTGTTCTACCTTGTGGGCTTGTCCTCCAACTCTGTGAGGGAGAGAGACCCAAACTTGGGATCCTATTGATTTGGGCAAGAACGCTACTGTCCCGGCACGTTCTCCAGGATGTAGAATGAAAGTAAGCAAGCACGGATGCTCTTCCGTGCACGCTTCCTTGCCTGCTGCTGCTCGCTTCTCCCCAGGCCTCTTGTTTCTACACTTTCCTGCATGTGGTTAGAGCTAGGGAGTGAGAGGCTCTGGACAGTGGTCTGAGACACTAATGGCAAATCACTGGGCTCATGTAAGACAGAAGCTTTTTAAACTAATCTGGGTTGTTTTTTGTTTTGTTTTGTTTTGTTTTCCTGGTTTTTCTTAGAACTCACTTTAGACTCGAGGTCCCCAGAGGCCTTAACTACCTCTGGTTGCTCCGTGGCCTATGCTGTTCTCCTTGAGCTAACTCAACTCTCTTTGCTGGTGCATCCTTTTCCTGTGTGTTTGTGGTCCCTTCTATTTTGCTCTTCATTAGCTGTCGCAAGAGATACTAATCATTGTTATGAACTAATTCTAGAAAGCTATTGCCAAAGATACGGGGCTATAGGCCACTCACTGCCTATTTGCCTGAATAGGGTCAGTTGCTTACGTAGGTATTTCCATTTGATGTTTTCATCCAGTCTATCACATAGTTGAGTAGGTCTGAACTGGACCTTGAAGTACAGAGAAATTTAAAAAACAGCAATGAAAAACAACAGAACTCCTCTGGCAAGCCTGCCGCTTAGCAGTGGCAGGGCTAGGATTTGATTCTGGGTCTATGTGATTTTTTTTTCTTAAAGACAAGGTCTTTCTGTATAGTTCAGGCTGGACTTGAACTTACTGTGTAGCTCAGACTAGACTCAAACTCGCAGCTATCCCAACTGCTAGGATTATAAAGCATGCACCTCATGCCTGGTTCTTGGCCTTATTTGGTTTTATAGCAAAGACAGACACTTTTTCCTGCAGTGGTCATAGTTAACCAGAGATGCTAGGTTGATGATATAAATATATCTTAGCCATCTTAGTTGAATTCTGACATCATTCCTAGCCATCCGGATGTATGTATCCCCTAGGTATCTTTCCAGTACCTTCAATTCTCACTGAAAGGTCTGCTTAAATAGTATGTTGTAAAGCTTACTATAGCTAAGAAAAAACAGTTTTTAAGAAATAACTCTAGCTCCATTTTTATTGGATTCTGACTAACATGCAGCTTCTTGGGAACTGAGAACAGAAATGGGTAGGCTGATCAGTTCTTGCAGTAGTCTAGGGGAAACAGTGGTGGCAACAGAAATGGAAGAATGCGGATTGAAAATGTGTGTTGGGGGCTGCGGACAGAGGTTGCGAAGGGAAAAAGTTGTGGAAGCTTCTGGTGTGTGGCAGGCGCTGCAGCTGAGCTCGTCTGGCGCCTCCACCAGCCCCTTCTGCGCTATTTCCTTCTGCTGCTGTGGCCAGGACTCAGAACACCTTGCAGCTGTTACCAGGTAGTTTCTTTACAAATGGCTCAACAAGGTCCTTCTTGCTTTGAATAAAGAATTAGATGAGACAAGCCAAAAATGGCAGCAGAAGTTTACTTGAAAAGTGAGAGATGAGTGGGTATGGGAGAAACCAGCTCTGCAGAGTGAACTTGGGCAGAACAAGAGAAAAAGAAGATAAAAGCAAAAAATAAAAATTACATGTCGTGTCTGGGAAATGCAGCGTGGATATGGTGGAAAGTCCCCAAGCAGGCTCTGGGGATATCGTTTCTCTTATACTGCCCACATCTTCTAGGCATCTGGGAGAAATTCCACATAAGGGATCCCGAGACTGACTTGACACTGTCTTGGGGTTTTTAAAAATATTTTATTCAGTTATTTAGTTGGTATAGGATCTTGCTATGTAGCACAGACTCATAGTGACCCCGTGTCTCAGTCTCCCCAGCACTGGGATCACAGGCATGTGCCATCCCAGCCAGTTTCAGTGGTCCAGGGCCAGCACCGCATGCTGTACTGAGGATCAAACCCAGGTTCTTGCACTTGCCAGGCAGGCTCTTAGACCGCTGACCTATCTCCCCAGCCCTGTCCTGGGATCTTGACAGGTTCTGCTCATTTCCTTAACCCCTTTGCACACACATGAGACGCACCCAAGAGGCACAGATGTGCCGGTGAGGGGGCAGCCATGTGCAGAAGAGACCTGGTGGCTATGGCTCAAGGCTGCTGGGGCCTTGGGGCCAGTGTGGTAGGCATGCTGGCACCTGGTCCCTGTGGCCATGAGAATTCAGTGGTGGAAGGCGGTGCTGTGGTCCTTTGGCTGATTTGGACTTATGATTTGGATGAACTTTTCTCCTAGCTATGTACAGTTGACCTGTTGAAATCCCAGCCAGATTCTGTAGGTTCCAGAAGACTCAAGAGCTATCAGTAATTCTTCTTATGATTAACTAGTGAGGGATTTCTGTCGTGTACAAACAGAATTGGGATAGATTACTGCTATTATGGAGAGAGAAAAAAAAAAGGTGCTTCATGGAAGCCAGCTGGGGGTGATACTGTCACAAATGGAGATTAAAAAGTATTTCTTAAATTGATATACACTTCACTTGTGACTCTAGCAAAAGCATGTTGCTGTTGTTCCTGCCGGTGTTTCGGTGGACATAGAAATCAATTATGAGTACTTACGAAGTAGTGGAGACAGCCTGAGGAGACACCTTTATCGATCACTTGGATACAGCCTGAGACTTTTGACTTGGTTCTATCATCCGTGGCTCGTTCTCCTTATCTGTGAAGGGGATAAGATCCCCCTCACAGGATTTTCTGGCCTGGGAATGAAATAATATGTGGAAAGCAAATTTTATTGCATCATCTTTTATCTAGTAAGAGCTTACTAATGGTTACTTTTTTAGTTTTTTCAGGCAGGGTCTTAGTGTATTCCTTGCTGGCTTTGAGCTTACTGCACAGCTGGGCCAGCCTTGAACTTGCACTGACCCTCTTGCGTCTGTCCCCCAAGTGCCAGGATCACAGGCTGTGCCACCAGCCAGCAACTGTGAATGTTACTGTTAGTTTTCCCCCATGTAGCTTAAGGAATTGTGAATATAGGATGGCAGTCACTTCTGACATGATTTTACTTCTTCCATTCAGACTGTACAGGCTGGCCCCGTTGCCATATTACCTTCATTTAATTACATTAATTAAATAAACATTTATTAAGCCCCTAGTATGTGCTGGGCCTAAGTAGACTGGTGGTCTGGAATATGGAACTGAGAGACACTGGTTCTCTGCCGTGAGGTAGCTTCCGGAACACTGAAGGAGAGAGAACGTAAATTAATGCTTTATCCCAGGTTTTATATTCTACCAGTCAGGGTACTAATGGGAGCAGAAGCACCAGGAGGGGTGTGTGTGTGTGTGTGTGTGCGTGCGCGCGCGTGCGCATTACATTTACGTGTTTACACAGCACACACATGCACACATGCTCCTGAATGTATGTATGATGGCTGCTTAGCAGCTCCCAGTCCACAGGCAGGAAGCCTGATCCCCGAAAACCTCAGGGCTGCAGCTGCTGCTCCTCCTCCCCTCCCTTTCCTTCCCTTCCTTCCTCCCCCGCTCCTCCTTCTCCCTTCTTCCTCCTTGCTGGGGATGGAGACCCCAGCCCTGCACCTACTAAGCATGTGTTCTGCCAAGAGCTGCACTCCAGCCCTGGACCACATCTTTTCACTGTGAGGTCATCCTATCCTCGTTTTTTTCAGATAATCTTGGCTCTTCTTTAAGACTTCTCTCCTGGTGAGATCCTCAGGGTCACCGTTGGAGGTGCCTCCCCCTCACATTCCCATCTACTGCCCATATACACATACCAGCAAGACCCATATGGTAGAGAATTACATTTATGATGAGCAGAAGATCAAATTTATTCTAATTTGTATTGCTTATTTTCTTGAATACGCTCTAGCTGCATTTATTAACAGATTTTATTTAGTCATCTGTTCAGCTAGTAAAATAATCGACTGTGAATTAAGAGCACGATCCAAGGGAAAATGGAAATTCATTAGTTTTCAATTTTAGTTTTTAATTTTACTTGTTTACTGCCCAAAGGAATGATAAATTGTATTTTAAATGAAATACATACTGTAGGAAAAACCCTCATCAACCAGTGTTCTTTTTTACTGAAAATCTGTTTCTCATGTGCTCTGAAAAATTTAAAGATGTGTGAGGCTCTGACAACCATGGACGAATTTGAGAAATTATATTTCTAGTTTTTGTTCCCAAAGGAATTAAAGGTGCTTGGTTAGTCCAGCTTTTTGTAGTTTTGTGTTTTTCAGTTAGAAGAAGTTGAAACCAGCTCAGGTTTTAAAAACAAGTGAGGTGAAATAAGTGGGTTGGGGTTAGGGCTTATGAGAAAAGAGAGCAGTCACTCAAGCCTCGAAGCAACCTGCAGGCAGCCCTCTGACTCCAAGCTCAGTGACTAGGGTGGAACCTGGCCTAGGGGAGGTGGCAGCCACCTTTGCTAGTTGACCCTCAGCTGGGGGTTTCTCCAGTCAGATTGCTGAAGGAGGGAGGTGAGGACTGTCGCTCAGTGTTGGAGTGCTTAGCTAGCATACATCACATGCTAGGTTTGATCCCCAGCACTGAGAGAAACACCATCCTCCTGAAAGGAAGGATTCAGGTGTCTCTGTGTCCAGAGAAATCGTGCCATATTCTTTTAGAGGTTGATTTGTCCTTTTATTTATTTACATATCAGAATTTCTTTCTCCAGTGTACCCAAAAGTTCTGTTCTAACAGCTTTTTTGAACTGTGTGGTTCAGGAACTGGGCAGACAAGGATGGAAGCTGGGATCCAGAGGGGGACTTGTGCAGATCCAGGCCAGATGCCATGATGGCTTGGCCAGTGTGGTAGCCATAGAGGCAGTGGGAAGTGCTGGGATTCTTAGACATGTTTTGAAGGTAAAGTCCCCAAGACGTTCTTATAATTGGATATGATGGGCTCAGTTAAACTTTGAATTATATAAAACAAATAGGAATACTGAACCAAATATGATAAATTCGAAATTCTCTATTTTTTCTTTTCTTTTTTTTTTTTTTTTCCATTTATGTACTTGTTACAGGGTCTTACCACGCAGCTCGGACTTGTAATGATCCTCCTGTTTTCAGCCTCCCCAGCAAACACATCTGGATTCGGTCATTGGCTCAGTGCGCCCCTGGGACACGGCCAGCGTGGCACTCGGGACCAGGGATCGAACCTCAGCCTCTGAGCTTGCCAAAGCAGATGCTTAATCTGCTGAGCTAACTTGCTGGCCCAAAATTTTCTATTCTGAAGATAAATCCAATAATGTTGACCTATACTGATAATGATTCTTTTCTCTCTGTCTTTAGATTCAGTTGGAAAAAAATATACAAATGATTTTAGATGAGCTTGAGTTTAATATTGGACTTTATAGACATGGTTATTTCTGTTCAAGGCTTTCTGAAAGAATTTTTTAAAAACACCCAAGTTGTGTGTTCTCACTTACATAATGTTTAATAGAAGTCTTGAAACCTCAGCCAAGTAGTCTTCCACTAGGGAGTTTTGCAGTAACTTTCCATCTTAAATATGCTGCTGACTAATCTGCCATTAACCAAGCCAAGTCATGCTTTGTTGAATATTAAATTGACAAGATATTAAAGTTAAAACTTGCTGTAGTAAACCCAGCATCAACAGTACTGTTTGCTGAGGTTGTATAGTTGTGTGGTTTGACCCTATGAGAGCAAAACATAATGCAGAGTTTCAGCTCTGTCACACTGAGTTTACTCCTCACCCCGTCAACGCAGCCACCCAGCCAGTCCCACTCCCACCGGTCGGTCGGTCGTCTGCCTTGGGAACATCATAATGCCCTTGAGGAGATTCTGAAGGCTGAGAGGATAATCGAGGACAAGTAATTGGAAGCAATTGTTTTTAGAGTGGTTGCTCTGCAGCTACTCGTTAGGACTGCAGAGATTTGCCACCCGACTTATTTTCCACACACCTCACATGAAATTTGAATAATTTAGTCTGAAGTAATGAGTAGAAGTCTGTTGACTATTTTTGGATGTAGCTTTTATCAATTCACTCACAAGATTCTAATCTTTCTTTGAGCAAGTCTTAACAGTGTATTTTAAATTAATAGAAAAAAAAATAGGTGTTCCTGTTATTAGTATAAGCTTTTCTTCTCCTTTTCTAACATGATATGAAATCTATGGACCTAATTCCATGTTCCAGACACCAGTGGTTGTATTACCAATTACTAAGCATGTCATATGTATTATTATGTGTAATGAACGCAAATTCTTTTTTTGAAAACAAATAAAAAATATTTTTTAAAAAACAGGGGCTAGGGAGATAGCTCAGCAGTTTAAGTGCCCATCTGGCAAGCGCAAGGACCTGGGTTCGATTCCCCCATACCACATGCCTTGCTGCCCCATAATTGAGCATGGTGCTGGGGAGGCTGAGACATTAGGACCGCTACAGTTCTGAACTGTGAGGTGAGTCCCTGTATCCAATAAATAAATAAAAACAAATTTAAAACATTAGAAACGACACACAATTTCACTAACAAAATAATAGGAATCCAACAATAGATGTTATGTTTCGTATTGGTGTCTTCAAATTAGTTCAGATTATCAGATGTAAGCATGAAAAATTGGCTCAAAAAGTTATAAAAAATAAAAAAAGGAGAGAAAAAAGAATTCAAGTATTAACCGCTCCTTTCGGTAAACCAGCAGAAATCACTAGTATAGTTGTCTAGGCTATCCTGTGTGTATACATACATATTTCTTTTTCCTAAAGGCAAGTTTTTTGAATCCTAAGGTGTGACACATCTAAAATAGGAAAAGTTATCTTACAAAGTTTGGCAGAAGTGACTTTGTGGTTTCCTGGTGAAATTTAAGAGGGTCACTTGACCAATTGGACCATTCACTTGTCTTTATTTTCTGCTAACATTTAAAATT